TCAGCCGGGCCATAAAGGTCGCTGAATCTTCGAATGCTGGAAATCTTTACCATCCCTTCTGCTCACTCGATGACTGGAGCCTCGCACAATGGTTTCATGAAGCTGGTGTATCAATGTCCCAGGTCGATGATTTCTTGCGATTGCCCTTTGTAAGCAGGAACTATGCAATGCTATACTCTATCTAATGCTGATTTCTCTAGGTCCCATCCTTGAATCTGTCTTTCAGGAGCGGTGCTACTCTCCAAAAGAAGCTGGAACAGTTGCCTGATACCCGCATGCCGTGGAAAACGATAGATGTTTGGCCTTCCTCAGGCAATACTTCCTCCCCGGTCGTTCTCTACCATAGGGATCCGGTGAAATGCATCCAATCTTTACTTGACCGACCTCACTTGCAAGACGCACTCGAATTCGCACCCCGACGCAGTTGGGAAGACGAAAACCGTCAGAGCCGACTATACTCAGAGATGCTGACCGGAGAATGGGCATGGCGGACACAGGTGAGACCTCTACAATCGTTATGATGAAACATACTGAATCTGGGCTAGGGAACGCTTCCACCTGGGTCTACTCTTGTTCCTGTCTTGCTTGGCTCCGATAAGACTCATCTCACTGTCTTTGCCGGTGATAAGAAGGCTTGGCCGTTATATTTGAGTATAGGGAACATCAAATCCTCTGTTCGTAACAAACCCAGGAACCGTGCTTGGGTTCTTGTGGCTTATCTTCCCATCGCCCATTTCGCCGATCATAAATCCCTCCACACAACTTTACACAATCGTCTTTTCCATCAGTGTATGTCGGTGATTCTAGAACCCTTAAAACACATACCAACAAATGGTCTACCCATGACCGACTCTGTAGGCGCTGTGCGTCTCTGTTTCCCGAGACTGGCGGCTTACCTTGCAGATTATCCCGAGCAAGTGCTCATCAATGTCGCTCGATCCAACGCTTCGCCCACGACGACTGCATCTTATCGCAATCTGGGGGACCCCTTCCTTTTTCCTCCTCGGACTAGGGATTACATTGTTCAAGCAATAAGCCAAGTCAAAGCAAAAGTGGATCCCGCTAATGTTGGAGCGTATCAACGAGCAGCCAAGAAGATTGGCCTCAATGGAGTAGATCAACCATTCTGGAAAGACTTGCCGGGTTATATGCCGAATGTTTGTGTTGCACCTGACATCCTACATGGGGTGCATCGCTTCTGGCGTGACCATGTCCTCGATTGGGTAATTAACCTTGTAGGGGCGGAAGAATTGGACAGACGTGTGAAAGCGATCCAGCCGGCTGT